ATTTTTATTTTATGTGTACGAGTATATTGCCTGTATGTATGTGAGTGCACCCATGTCGTGCAATGCTGCAGAGGTCAGAAGAGGATTTCGGATTCCCCTGGAATTGAGTTAAGGACGGTTCATAGCCGCCATGTGGGTGCTGGGAATCAAACCCAGGTCCTCTGTAAGAGCAGTCAGTGCTCTTAATGGCTGAGCCATCTCTCCAGCCCCAAATAAAAATATCTTTTAAAAAGCCCAATACAAGCCGGGCGTGGTAGCACAGACCTTTAATCCCAGCACTTGTGAAGCAGAGGCAGGCGGATCTTTGTGAGTTTGAGGCCAGCCTGGTCTACATAGTGAGTTCCAGGACAGCTGGGGCTACAGGGAGACCCTGTCTCAAAAAGACAAAAAAAAAAAAAAAAAAAAAAAAAAAAAGAAGAAGAAAAGCCCAATACAGTAGTAATGAGTGTAATTGCAGCACTGGGGAAGTAGAGACAGGTGGATCCCTTGAGTTCATTGGCCAGCCCATGTGCTCCAGTGTCATTGAGAGACCCTGTCTCATTTAAAGTAGAAAGGGAGGCCAGACATGGTGACACACACTTTCCCCAACACTCAGAAGGCAGAGACAGGCACATTTCTATGAGAGTGAGGTCAGCCTAGTCTACATAGTAAGTTCTAGGCCAGCTGGGGCTATGTAGTAAGACCTGTCTCAAAAACCAAAATAGTAAATAAGTAAAAAGGGAAAGCAATTAAGGAAGACAACCCATGTTGTACTCTGACCTGTGTGCACCTGCACAACTGGACACATGCACATACTTAATGAACAGGTATACTCATCTCATCCTCCCCCTAAAAAAACAACTTGTTCCTTGACCAGAGATAGTTTGAGAACTGCCCAGAATACATGACATTTTACTCACTGAAAGTAAGTATCTACACTGTACATAAATGGAAATTCTCACTTATGCCTTGTTGCAGAGATTTGTATCAGTGTTACTTTGTCACTTTGAATGTGCTAATTTTCTTGGATCTCACTTACTGACCTTCCCAAGCCAGCCCCCCTTCTGTCTTGGTGCCCTGTGTACAACTTTGTGGACTGAGTTCTCTCTTTCTACATTTTAATGGGTTCTGGAGATCAACCTCAGGTCAACAGGTTTGTACAACAAATTCCATTATCTGATAAGCCATTTCATCAGCCTAAAAAGTATATTTCTTTACCATAATTAAAAGTACTGATTTTGGGGCTGGAGAGATGGCTCAGTGGTTAAGAGCATTGGCTGCTCTCGCAGAGGATTGGGGTTTAGTTCCCAGCATCCACATGGTGATCTGTAACTCCAATTCCAGGGAGATCCAACATCCTCTTCTGGCCTCTGTGGGCATTGCATGCATGTGGTGCACTCATATACGTGCAGGCAAAATATGCATACTCATAAAATTTTTTTAAAGTACTAATTTTGACAGTATAGGCTAAATCTCTTTAAAACGTGTTCCAGGGGATTCAACACTCTTCTGGCCTCTGCAGACATTGCATGCACATGGTACACTTATATGCAGGCAAAACATTCAGACATGTAAAATAAAAATAAAACAATTTTTAGAAGCTTGGCACCATTTTGGTGGTTTTGATTTATTACCTAGGCTAGAGGTCAGCTTTGAGTATTGTTCCTCAGGAGCCATCTACCTTGTTTCTTGAGACAGGGTCTCTCAAGGGATCTGAGGCTCACCAGTAGGCTAGGCTAGATGGCCAGTTAGCCCCAGCACTGGGATTACAAGTGCACACCATTGTGCCCAGCTTTTTTAATGTGGGTGCTAAGGGTTGAACTGAGATCATCATGCTTGTTCAGCAGGCACTATACCTCCTAAGCTTTCTCCCCTAGCCCCTAGACATTCTTATTTCTTTTTCTGTTTTCTTTTTTTTTGGGGGGGGGGTGCACATGTGCGCATGCACACCCAGGTGCCCAAGGAGACCAGAAGAAGTTGGATCCTTTGAAACTGTAGTTACAGGTGGTTGTGAGCCACTCACCATGGGTGCTGGGAACTGAACTCAGGTCCCCTAGAAGAGTAGCAAGTGCTCTTAACTACTGAGCATCTCTCCAGCTCCCTAGACATTCTTAAGCACACAACACAGAGCTTGACACATATGCATAAGTTTTCAGAATATTTCCTTATTGCTGTTATCCAGCAGTCTACAAGGTGTCAGGCACTATAACATCAGAGATAATGTAAAGCCTCTATCAGAAAAGAACTCAGAGTGGTAGAGCAGTCAGGCAAGTGTATAAGTCTGAGAGTTCAGTGCTGTTACAGAGAGAAACATAGGACCTGGCCCTTACTTAGCACCTAATACATGTTCTGGGGAGCAAAGGCTCTTAAAGGAAAACATCGTAGCTGGGCATGGTGGTGCATGCCTTTGATCCCAGCACTCAAGAGGCAGGCGGATCTCTGTGAGTTCGAGGCCAGCCTCGTCTACATAGTAAGTTCCAGGTCAGCTGGGGCTACAGGGAGACCTTGCCTCAAAAAGACAAAAAAAGAAAAGAAAGAAAAAGAAAAGCATCCTTTGAGCTACATATTAAAGGATGTAGAAGCTCTGAGAAGGAGGGAGTTCAGGAGCACTTTAGAGAAACTGAGCAGAGGCCCAGAGTTGAGTTTGGTGGAATTAAAGGAATTTAGATGATGCAGTATGATCAGAATACAGATGAAAACGGATAGGGCTGCAGAACAGCCAGATGATCCAGAGACACAGTTTGAATCTTTTCTTGAAGTCATTTGTAAGTATTTAAAAGATCATTCTGGCCACAGTAAAGAGAACAGATTCAAAGCAAAAGACTGCGGGAGGCAATTTTTAACTCCACTTAGTAATGCACAGAGAATGTATCGATTCTGAAACAGTGGTGGAGATTGAATAGACATTCTAGAAAAGTTGGCTTGAAAAGCACAACAAATACCATCTGGTGATAGATTGGATAGAGGTGACAGGAAAAGGAATCAACAATAATACTCAGATCTCTGACTTTTATAGCTGGACAGATGTAATGACCTTCTCTGAATTAAAGGAGGACTGGGTTTCCCAAGAAAACAGATTGCTGCTCTTCAGGTGTCTGTATGCAACCATGGGTTGGAGCAGCAGCCTGGGACATCATAGGCATACAGTGGGAATGGATGACGTGGAGGTAGACATCACCAGGAGTGGGGGCAGGATAGGAGCTGTGTATCTACAGTGCTCTGCATCTAGCTGCTCCAGAGTGCTTGAATGAGTGAAGAGTGTCAAGCATGTAGTCATAATCCTACTCTTTTTTTTTTTTTTTTTTTTTTTTTTTTTTTTTTTTTGATACTGGGTCTGTGGCTCCAGCTGACCTGGAACTCACTATGTAGACCATGCTGGCCTTGAACTCAGAAAGATCCACCTGCCTCTGGCCCCCAACTGCAGGGATTAAAGGCGTGTGCCACTACTCCCAGCTCAATGATCCTACTTTTATAGAGAAGAGATTAAGCTTAGAGAGTTATGTAATTTACCCACAAAGCCTTTTTGACATGAGGTGGCAGAGTGTGGGTTTCATTTGAGTCGATGCCATGTTGCTACTAAAGATCTTGACACCTGAACATGGGACTTTGGAAGCCTCTATACTTCATTGATACTTTTTTTTTTGACCTGTATCTTTTAAAACTTTTTTGGAAAGCAGTCTGTGTAGCCATATGTTTTTGTTATTGGTAGTACTTGTGTTTAAATGCTTCCCTTCCTTCGTGTTATCACGACTACTTTTTTATAGTAAACTGAAATTTTTCTGTCCAAGTTTAGCCATATCCCTTCCACAATCTTTGTCACTCAGATTTTTCTATATTTTATCTTTATATTTGAAATTATTTTTCTTAAGGATAACTGATTATCAGATTTTCTTCTTTGATCTCTTAAAATGCCTCAGTTGCTTCCTTCCTATGAGTTTTTGTTTTACCACTTCTTTTTCAGTTTGCCAGAATTAAGCCCAAAATAATATAAAAGTTATGTTTTGTCTATTTTCTAAGGGACTAAGCTATCAGCAGTGCACAATGTTAGTTTTTTATTAGGATGATTCAAGGGTCTTCATAGCGCGCACGCACACACACACTGTCATCTGGGGTCTTGGTGCTGTCAGTCATGTGTCATCCATGTCTTTCTCTGGTTAGTTCCCACCACTGTCCTTTCTACCTACTCCTCTTCCCTTTGTTCCAGTGCTTCCATATACTGTTTTATTCAGATTATGGGCTTTGTATACAGATATGTGTTTTCTTCAGCAACAAGGGAAGATTCTCTGCCTTTTTCTGTACCTCTGACTCTGCAGGGCGGCAGATTCTTAAAGATGTCATATCTATTGCTATCCAATCCCACCAAGTCTTGATGATTCCTATGAGATTTTGTTTACCTCCTTGAATTTTTTTTTTTTTTACTGTTGCCACTCTTAAGTCTGTAGCTCTTGCATACTAATGTTCAGTAAGTAATATGTATGATTAATCTTAAAAACTGTCTTCTCTTTTAGGCTGTGAGGATATTATTGCTGAGAGCATCTCATTAGATACCTTAATTGCCATCCTCAAGTGGAGCTCGCATCCATATGGCTCTAAGTGGGTGCACCGACAAGCTCTGCATTTCCTCTGTGAGGAATTATCCCAGGTCATGACTTCGGATGTTTTTTATGAACTCAGCAAAGACCATCTGCTTACTGCTATCCAGTCTGACTACCTACAGGTAATAATTTATACACCTCTCAAGTCTGTTGTCATTCCTACATGAACCAAAAACTCCTGTCTGTACTCTGCTACTCTTCTGTCTAGGGTGAGGCAGGGAGAAACAGTCTTTGCTTAAACCACCCAGGAATGTCCTCTCCATATTTGTACAATAAATGCCTCCTGGCTCATTGGCACTTCATGTACTCTGCAATTCGTGACTCACCATTGCATACAAGCCTAGGACCTAAACAGCTATCCCCAGAAGAGATTGAAGCAGTATGCCAGGCCAGGAGCTCCTTCAGAAAGTGATTTTCTTGGCTTTCATTGATGTGTATTCACTATAGTCATTTCTCTTGGTAGAGTATTGGATAATTAGATTGTAGACCATTGGTTAATCAGCACACAGTAAGAGTAACATTGCATTTCTGATCTGTTCAACTGATATAAAGTATAATAGTATTTTCAAATATTTATTTTTAACTAAAAGTAATTTTTAGTCACTTCTTATGTCTTTGACTTACATGTCAATATAGGTTATTTAATGATTGATTTTAAATATTGCAAATAATTTCAGGTAAAGTATTTCTACATTTAATTGTTTTACATTAGCTTAACTTTATGCTAAAAGCTATACAATACTTTTTAATGCTGTGAAGACATAAACCCATTGAGCTATTTCTTGTGTCTTTGTGTATATACTAGATAAATTATAAAATAGTACTACCATAGTCAGAAAATACAGTAAAAATTAAGTTGTCCACTTACCATATGAGATTTTGTTTTCAGTGGTGCTTTGCTTGCAGTGTATATGCTATGACTCTTGGTCTTAATTTGTGGGAGGCTCTTGTTCATAAACTTTATCTCACTATCCTGGTGAAGACTTATGGGCGCGCAGGGATCTCGGGGCGCCAGCTGCTGGGCGTGGTGCCGGTCTCCTGCGTGCACCTGGGGTGCGGCGGGTCCCCACACGGCGTCGTTGTGGGTCTCTGCTACCCGGGCTGGCCCGGTCGGGTTCCATCCCAATCCACCGTGCACTCTCTCTCTAAGTTCGGGACCGTCAGCTGCCGGGTCACGAGGGAAGGTGCAGGACGGCGAAAGCTGGATTTCCGTGAGTCCCGGCTTACGAAGAGACAGCTCTCTCCGGAGAGGCAGGATCACACACAGAACTCAGCTCAGTCAGTGGTACAGCCCCTTTATTCAGTGACTTAGATCGGCTCCAAGCCTTAGTGATCCAGCTCCGATTAATTAGGGGGAAACCAGGATATTTATACTGTTGGGGCAGTGGCAAAAGCCTTAGTGGATAGGTACTTTCAGGATGCCCCATTTACATGTGGTGGTGGGCTTCTGCCAGGCTGCCAGACATTGAAAATCACACAGGAAAACCTGGCAGTTTCAGAGCCAGAGGCCATGTTTCTGTGACGGCTACTTCAAAGATGAGTCAGGAAGAGAGTAGGAAGGCACCCTGCTGTTAAAAGGAGTCTCTGCATTGAATCCGAGCCCGTGGGCTTTCCGGACATGGAGAAACTGCTACTTTACACAGCAGGAGTCCCCAACAAAGACTGGTTGCTTTATGCTTATGAGAGTTAAGATTTACCATTTCTCTCAGATCCTTGTCTTAGGTTGTGTATTCCTTCATCAAAAATCAAATGTCTTGGGGAGCAATGTGTTTATAAGATTTTAAATAAAATATAAAGAAATGAGAAATACAGGGGGACCCTCTCCAACCTACAAAATATTTTGTGGAGATGGTAGCCACATCTGCCCTGATAAGTTATCGTTCTTGCTTTTTCCTCATGGCAACAGGAAATAATGTGTTTATCTTTATCTTGTCCCAAGACCTAAAGGTAGCTGTAGTAAGATAAATTTAAAAGTAAAGTAGGAAGAGAACACAATAAAGAAAAAAAAGATTTAAAAAAACAAAAAACCTGGAGCCGGGCGTGGTGGCACATACCTTTAATCCCAGCACTTGGGAGGCAGAAGCAGGTGGATCTTTGTGAGTTCGAGGTCAGCCTGGTCTACATAGTGAGTTCCAGGCCAGCTGGGGCTACAGGGAGACCCTGTCTCAAAAAGACAAAAAAAAAAAAAAAAAAACTGGAATGAAGATCGAAGTTATTGTATAAAATACATATGAAGCAGTCTTGAGCATTTGCTCTTAATGGACCACAGGTTTACCTCTAAAATTTTGAGCAGCCAGTGTAAAGAGGGAAACATGGTAAGCTGTACTCCATAGTTACATTATCGCTTAGAAAAAGTTATTAATGAAACATCTTTATATAATTTCAGTAAGATAAAGATAAATCAATTTTTATTACAGGCAAGTGAACAAGATATCCTTAAATATCTGATTAAATGGGGAGAGCATCAGTTGATGAAAAGAATAGCAGACAGAGGTAAGTTCAGAAAGTAAACTTGCAATAATCAACATCTGTAAGTTTTTAGTGGTTTTTATGATGTGCACATTGTACATCAGTCTGGAAGACAGGCATTGGCCTGGTGGAAATACAGGTTTTTGGGGTTTTTTTTAACCACCAGTAAAGTACTGTAATGGAATGGGTATAGCTTGGTAAAATAAGTATATCAATGTTTTTCAAAAATTTTTATTTTATAAATTTTTTTTAGGCTGGGCATGGTGGTGCATGCCTTTAATCCCAGCACTCAGGAGGCAGAGGCTGGTGGATGTTTGTGAGATCAAGTGCAACCTGGTCTATATAGTGAATTCTAGGCCAGCTGGGGCTACAGGGATACTCCATCTCAAAAAAGCAAAACAATTTTTAAATTTTTCATTTATTAGCCAGTCGTAGTGGCAACACACCTTTAGTCCCAGCACTCTAGAGGCATAGGCAGGCAGATCTCTGTGAGTTCAAGTCCAGCCTGGTCTACATAGTGAGTTCCAGGTCAGCTGGGGCTACAGGGAGACCCTGTCTCAAAAAAAAAAAAATTATTATTTTTGATATTATGAGTATTGTGCCTGCATGTATATAAGTGCAACATGTGTATCAGAAGAGGGGTGTTGGATCCCCTGGAACTGGAGTTGCCAGTGTTTTTGTTGGTTTTTTTTTTTTTTTTGCCATCATGTGGATGCTGTAACCCAAACCTGGGTCCTCTACAAGAGCAGCCAGTACTCAATACTGCTGAGCCATCTCTCTAACCCCCTATTTTACAATTTTAAAGGATTTTTTTTATGTTTTACATGTGTAATAGTATGTGGAGTGATTCATGAACTGCTAAAATGAAAAGTGTTATGTAATGATTAGGGTATTATAGAACCACATTGATAAAGATGTTTTGGAATTCGATAGTGTTGATGATTGCACAATGTAAATATACTTTACTTATTTTTATTTTTTGTTTTATGGTATTTTTGAGACAGGGCCACCCTGTAGTCCCAGCTGGCCTAGAACTTACTATGTAGACCAGGCTGGCCTTGAACTCACAGATATCCACCTCCCTCTGCCTCCTGAGTGCTGGGATTAAAGGTATGTGCTACCACACCTGGTACGAATGTACTTTAACATGGTTAAAGTGGTGAATTTTATGAAATTTACCCCAGTTGTAAAAAGTACAAAGAACAGGGGGCTGGAGAGATGGCTCAGCAGTTAAGAGCACTGCTGCTCTTGCAGAGGACTCAGGTTCAATTCCCAGCACCCACATGGTGGCTAAGAAACGTCCTTAAGTCCAGTTCCAGGGGAATCCAAAGCCCTCTTCTGACCTCCATGGCATTGCATGACACAGGTGCACTCACATACATGCAGGCAATACACTCATACACATAAAATAAAAATAATAAATAAAATATTTTTTTTAAAAAGTATAAAGAACTATGGGTGTAGCTCAATGTTAGAAATGCTTGCTTAGTATAATTAATTAATTAATTTAGAGACGGTATCATTTTGCCCAGGGTGACCTGGCCTTCCCTGTGTAAGTAGGAATGACTTTGAACTTCTGTTACTCCTACACCTTTTGAGTGCTGGGATTACAGGCGTGTTCCTTCACGCCCAGTTAGGCAAACATTGTACCAACTGAACCACATCCTCAGCCTCAATATTTTATATATAACTTACCATGACATTGTCAGTAGCTGACAGACTTGTTTTTTTATATTTTAAAATATAGAAGTTTTGTGCTGGGCTGCCATCAGATCTTACTAGTGTCTTCTGATATGTTACTACCCAAGCACTAGAGGAAAAAGGGTCTTCCTATTTTTCTCACAGTTTGTTTTTCTATGGCCTGTAAAAGCCTTCAACAGTTCTCAAATTTGAAAATTTTAACTAGAAATACCCCTACAACTAATTTAGAAAGTTTTTGAATGCCAACATACAGTCATTCTCACTTGTAGATTCTGTATTTGTAAGTCTATCTGCTTGATAAAATGTAATGTACCTGGTTAAAAAAACTTATTTTTTGTTCTGAACTATGGACGGACATGTCACATATGTTATGTAAATTTAGGAAAATTTGTTTAAAAAGTTTTTAAGTTGTTTTACAATTTATATTTTTATTTTATGTGTATGAGTGTTTTGCTTGCATGTATGTGCATCCATGTGTGCAATGCCTACAGAAGCCAGAAGAGGGTATCAAATCCCCTGGAAGTTATAGATGGTTGATTGTGGATGCTGGGAACCAAACTCAGGTCCTCTGCAAGAGTAGCCAGTGCTCTTAACTGCTGATCCATCTCTCCAACCCCTGTAAAAATCTTAAGAGCTAGATGGAATATATAAGATTTTGCACCTTTGAATAAGGTGATTAATATATTATTAAATTGATGTTAAACATATATAGCCTAGGTTGGGCATGGTGGTACATGTCTGTAATCCCCAGTACTTAAAAGTAGCAGTAGGAGGATCAGAAGTTTAGGGTCATCATTGGCTACATAACAAACTGGAAACCAACCTGGGCTACATGAGACACCCTCCTTCATCTCTGTGTGTCTGTCTGTCTGTCTTTCTCACCTCCTAATGAGTATGCATAATACTACCATGACTAGAAATAGCATATGCCATGCAATACCCCTATTGTACTAAAAACTGGTCGCAAAGGTAAAACAGTTTGGCCTTGGTGTTAACATATCGTTTTTCTTTGAGTTAATATAATTATTTAGTATAGAACAGTCATAAAGAATGTTATTGTGTTGTAAACACAGTGCTTTTTCTTTATCAAAGAACTTATCAAATAAACTACATACATTTTACTAATTGGTTTGCAACCTTTCTTAAGGCAGATATACTTATATACAAAGTGTACTACTGAGTGTGTAGTGAAGAAAGAAAGATGGTCTCTAGGGCCAGCAAGATGACTTAGAGGGCAAAAGCACTTGCTGCCCAATGCCCAAGCCTGATGACCTAAGTTTGATCCTCAGAGCCCGCAGTGGAAAGAGAGAGCCCATTCCTGAAAGTTGTCCTCTGGCCTCCACACACACCTTGCTTGACACATGCACACCTATACTCAGGTGCACACATCACACTCCCAATAAATATATTTTTGAAAAGAAGAAAAGCTGGGGCTGGAGAGATGACTCAGCAGTTAAAAACACGGGTTGTTCTTGCAGAAGTCCTGGGTTCAAATCCCAGTACCCACATGGCAACTAACAACTGTCCATAACTCCAGTCCCAGGGGATCCAACAGCCTCTTCTGACCTCCATGGGCATTGCATGACATGGGTGCACTTACCTACATGCAGGCAATACACGCATACACATAACATTAAAAAATAATAAAATTTAAAAAAAAAAAGAAAAAGAAAAGCTGACTGAGCATGGTGGCGCATGCCTTTAGTCCCAGCACTCAGAAAGCAGAGGCAGTTAGATATCTGTGAGTTCAGGGCCAGCCTGATCTACATAGTGAGTTCCAGGCCAGCTGGGGCTACAGGGAGATCCTGTCTCAAAAAAAAAAAAAAAAAAAGCTGACTCTAAAAATTGGGATTTCAGGGCTAGAGAGATGGCTCAGCGGTTAAGAGCACTGACTGCTCTTGCAGAGGACCCATGTTCGATTCCCAGCACCCACATGGTGGCTATGAACCATCCTTAATTCCAGTTCCAAGGGAATCTGAAGCCCTCTTCTGACCTCCATGGCATTGCACGACACAGGTGCATTCACATACATGGAGGCAATACACTCATATAATAAAAATAATAAAATTTCTTTTTAAAAAAATGGGATTTCATTGAAGTCTTTCCATTTTCTATTTCACAGAGCCAAACTTACTAAGTGGCACTGCACATAGTGTGAACAAACGAGGTGTGAAAAGACGAGACCTGGACATCGAAGAACTTAGAGAAATCCTTTCCTCTCTTTTACCTTTTGTGCGAATTGAACACATCTTACCTATAAACAGTGAAGTCTTAAGTGATGCTGTAAGTTTATTTCTTTCATTTATCCCTTTGATGAAAAGGAAAAATCCCAAACTTACCGTTTTAATTGTTATAAATAATTTCTCCTACTAATTAAGCTGAATACTATTAGGGCTGAATACTTCATGAGGACATAAACAAATGTCTGTTTTATACAGTATTATGTCCCCTGTATCTGTGACATAGTACAAATAGTGCTTGGTGGATGAGTGTGAACTGGGTAAGTAGGTCTTGCTTTTCCAAGAATGTAGATTTAGGGGCATTAATTTGACTGTGCAGATCAAATAGATTTGTATTAAAGGAAAAAGTAGAAATTACCTTTGTGGACTCTTCAAGAACAATTAATCCGAAGAGGGAGATTGGCCCACATATAAAAGATACACAAACCTTTTTAGAGTATTTTAGATGCAGGTGAAAATTAATGAAGCTGATTATGTTATTGTTTTGTTTTGTTTAGATTTTGGTGTGTGTGTGTGTTTATTTATTTATTTATTTATTTTGGTCTTTTTGAGATAGGGTCTTCCTGTCACTCCAGCTGATCACCACACCTAGCACAGCCTTTTTTTTTTTTTTTAAATACTGTGTTTTGTTTTGTTTTGTTTTGTTTTGTTTTATGTATATGATTGTATTGCCTGCATAGATGTAAGTTCACCCTTGTGCAATGCCCTAGTGGTCAGAAGAGGGTATCAGATCCCCTGGAACTGGAGCTACAGATACTCAGTTGTTAGCTGCCCTGTGGGTGCTGGGAGTTGAACATGGGTCCCCTTCAAAAGCAGCCAGTGCTCTTAACTGCTGAGCCATCTCTCCAGCCCCAGATAATTTTTAAGTGATTCTTTTTTTTTTTTATTAAAGACTTATTTATTTTTGTGGGGGCTGGAGAGATGGCTCAGCAGTTAAGAACACTGGTTGTTC